CCTCAGGAAAGGTCATCAGAATGAAAATGAATAATGGTGACAATAAAACAGAGAGAGTACTGAATCTGCTCTAATACATATAAAAGCACGTCACTTATAAAATTTGATATGGCTATGGTCTGAATGTTTATGTGGTCCCTCCCCCATTCCTATGTTGAAATTCTGACCCTCAAGGTGATGGTATTAGGAGGTGGGGCTTTTGAGACATAATTAGATCATGAGAGCAGAGCCCTTTTGGAATAAGATTAGTGTCATGTTAATAGAGGTTCTTGAAAGCATCCTGACCCCTTCTACCATGTGGGGGACACACAGCAAAAAGGCACCAGCTATGAGGAAGCGGGGTCTCCACACACACACTGAATTTGCTGGGGCCATGGTACCTGACTCCCAGTCTCCAGAACGGTGAGAAATAAATGTTTGTTATTTATAAGCCACTTCCTTTATGTTATTTTTGTTAAAGCAGCCCAAACAGACTGAGGCAGGTATGTTATTATCAGTACTCTCTTACTAGCACCAAGGATTTCTGGGCCAGACTGCCGGGGGTTGAATTTCAGCTTTTGCTATTTAATTTACTGTGGGACTTAATTTGGATTTCAGTTTTCTCAACTGTAAAATTGATGATAATAATAATAATAGCACCTACTTCATAGAATTCTTGTAATGCACGTCAAATGGTCACATTGTAGTACCAAAGCAGGGTTGGTTAAACCAAATGAACAAGTAAAATTCACATGTGATTATGGCAATGAGATACTACATCATCTTGAAAAGTTGAGGCAGACTACTGCCCTGTGTCTTGAGAAACAGACCTATTGTCAGGGTCCTACAGTATTTACGATTTTTTTTATGGCTCAAAATTATAGCAATTCTATGGAATAAAACTGTAAATTAAAAGAGAAGAGAGTGAGTTTCCCTGGAAAGACAGAAGATTTGAGACTGGAAGGCTTGTTCTAAGTCGACAGCCAAGTCAGAGACACTCCTAAAATCTCAGTTTCTTTATCTGCAAAAATGAAGATGACATCACTTCTGCCTTAGTACCCGCTGGTCTGAACTGAGGACCTGGTAACACTGATATGAAACCACAGTACTCCTGATTTGCTACAGCTCCTACTATTACCAATAACAATGAGTTTATATATGACATTTTCTGCATTCTCACTGATCCTCTTGACACATTATCAATATCTAGATATCTGAAAATATGAACAGCTTTTCAATATTGATTCATTCCCCTGCAACATGCTAATAATAAAACAGAATTTACTCAAATAAGGATTGGGATCAAGAACCCTTTGAAATTCAAGACAAGGTGTAAATTGCTGTAAAGGGTCTCTTTAATTGGGATCAAAACATTTTTGACAGCTTTTGGATTTTAAAATTCTAGCTATTGTCACGTTCTGCAAATGTTTCTTTTTTTGGTTTGAAAAAATATGCAGTCAAGCTTGAGCAGGAATACTTTAGATATGATAAACAACTAAAATTTGTCATTCCAAATGACAAAAACCCAGTTTTCCATTTCGCTGATATGTAGGACAAAATACTTCACTTAAACTCTTATCTGGCACAATCAGTTGGTACCCTGCTGGGTAACAACAAGGGTTTAGTAAACTCTTGCTGCTCATAATCTCCAATGGAATTTGAAAAACCTCCATTTATCTGAAGATAAATCACATCAACAGCGACGACTTTAAGGAAGAAACAGAATTTTATAACTAGTCTCAGGATTCAACTTCGATGTGACTTTGTTCAATACTTCATCCTCTAGTTGGCTCCCTTCCACAATTTTCTCATCCTATGCTTGTTGCCTGAACCCTCCTAAGTGATGGTGAACTCACTAGCACAGAAGGTGGTCCATCTAACTGGTAGAAAATTCTTCCTCCTCCTCCTCAACTGAAACTGCTTCAAAGAAACTTCTGCCACCTGGTCTCGGTTCTATTTGTTGGGTCCCACAGAGCAAGTCAGCTCCTTCTGCTACTACACGACTCTTTGGAGGGATGAACACTCTTAATATGGGGTGTCCTACTCCCTGTTGCTTCTTCTTCATGCTTTATCATGCTCAGCCCTTTCTACTAGCTTTCCCTAGACTGTGTTGAGGCAGAGTAACAAGCTCGGGTTGTGGAAGCCAGATGCTACTGGGGCCTAATGTGAATCCAACAGAACTGGAGTGAAGTAAGCCAAACGGAAAACATCCAACTCTGCCTTCTGAGTCTCCATCGGGAATCTGACATTTTTGTCCCCACCAAGTCAAATGGCTTTGAGCCAAAATAATGATTTTACTGGTGTTCCTTTTGTGTCCTGCTGAAGAATCAAAAAGAGCATTCAAGAGTTCGGTAGTATCTTTCTTGAAGGCCAGTTTAGCCACCCTTGACTGAGGATCTAGATCTGGGTCAAGATAATAAACCATCTCATTAGTTAAAATTTGGTGATTGGAATTTTAATGATTTGGGCACAACCTCTTTCATGGTGGCTTACATAATGCAACAGCAATGCCCAAAAACATGGCCCCTGGACCAGATAAAGTATCCGACACTCTACCTCATTCCTGCCCCTCTGGTTATACCAGCTGTCACGGTGGCAAGGGAGACCAGAGATGATGATGTAGTATTTGGGTATATATATCTCCCAGTTATGCTTGGCCCACATTACTTGTCTCCCTCCAATAAAGAGGCTAAGGTTTGAATGACGTCCTACAAGTTTCTACAAGCCTGCAGCCCTCTTCCTCATGTGTGCTGTCCGGGATCCCATGAGGCTCTACCTGTGTTAAGAAGTAGCTTTGGCTCAAAAAAAAAAAAAAAAAAAAAAAAAAAAAAGAAGAAGAAGTCTTGGCTCCACATAGTTTCCTGGTTCCCCTCATCGGGATGCTCTTTGATTTGCCTATGTCCCTTCTCAAGTGTGAGGTTCAAAATTGAGCACAAGTCTCCAAACTGTAGTCTACCCAAGAGAAGGAAAAACTCTTCTGGTTTCAGAAACTACACTTTTAGTGAGGCTTTCATTGTGCTCTTAAGCTTGCTGTATTCCAGCCCTCTCTGCTCGTGCCCTCATTCTAAAAACTACTTTCTCCTAAGGCATCCCCAGGAAAGCCACCATTCTCTACAACAGAGAGGTCAGGTGCCCTGATAGTGACTTGGGCCATCAGGAGGCTAAATCCCACTCTCGCTTCCCACATGCTGGATAACCTTGGCAAAGTCACTTATCCTGAGAGATAACGGGCACTGAGGCTCAGTGAAAAGACTCACAAGCCAGACTAACCAGGGTTCTAATCCTGTCTGCATCACCACTTACTTTCAATAAATTACGTACATTTCTCTCCTTGATATCTTAAACTACAAAATAAATAGGTGCCACCATCTACCCTCACAGGGCTGTCGTGAGGATTAACTGAGTTGGTACTCACAAGGGGTTCACAACAATACCTGGTACATATTATGAGCTTGATGAAATTATTATTATTATTTTCCCATAGGACTGCTGTGAGGGCAAAACTGAATCATGTACGTAATGAGACTGAAAGGCATGTAGTATACAGTAGGTACCCCATGAGGGGGACTAATTATCACTAGTTATTTTTTATAGTGGTAAACTGTACATAATTCAAACTTTGCCATTTTAAGTATTTCTTGGCATGCAGTTCAGTGGCGTAAAGTGCACTGACAGCGTTGTGCAGCCACCCCAGCCATTCAGCGCGAGCAGCATTTTCTTCCTCCCAAACTGTAATTTCATACTCACTAACCACTACCTCTTCATCATGCCCCTCCATGCCCCGCAGGCCCTCACAACCACCATTCTACTTGCTGTCTCTCTGAATTTCATTTCTCTAGATGTCATTTGAGTGGAATCCTACAGACTTTGTCTTTTTATAACTGGCTTATTTCACTTTGTATGACGTTTTTACATTTCATTTGTGTAGTAGCATGTGTCAGAACTTCCTTCCTCTCTGCCATGAAATAATATTCCATTGGATATAGGCACCATGTTTTGTGCATCTACTCAATCTGCTGATGGATGCCTGGATGGCTTCCACCTTTTAGCTGCTGTGAATAATGCCACTATGAATCTGGGTATACATATATCAGTTTTATTACTAATTCCTCAGAAATCACTTCTCTTCAAAACCCATTTTTACTGTTAAATTATCATCCTCCTATCCGGATGGTACCCTAATAGGAGTCAGAACAAAGGGAAGAAAATATAATGCAAAATAACTAAGGTCAAGTAACTTGGCTAGTTGAGGCTAGCTTACACAACAATGGAAAATTAACTTGGGAACTGCAAAGGAGGTGACATATGTAATGGTGTTTTATAAGCTGTAAAGAACTGAATGAATAAAAGAAAAAAAAACCATATTCATTTGACTCCTGCTCTCTGGACTAAACAGATCATAGAACATTTTTCTGTTTTTCCCTTATCGTCCATGAACAGCACCAGCACTGTCAGGGCAGCCCTGGAGCTGAATGTGGGAGCTAACTGCTGCTGGGGGCTGATGAGAACACAAACCATTTCTTTGGTGGGTTCAACAAACATATCGGCCCTCACATTTCCTGGTCATGTAGTGACAGATTTTTCTAAGATTGAAAACTCCATTCTTTTTCGATTACAGCAATTGCAAGGTGGCACAGGTTAACCTCAGGAGAGTCTGGATGCTTTGACCAAGTCAAAAGACATTCATGTGTCTCCCTCTAGGATGCATGTCATTAAAGTTGCCAACACACAAAGAAATTTAACTTAAACTGTCACATTACCCACCGCACTTCAAAGCTCATCAATCTCCTGTTAGATTACGGGGACTGTTTGACACTTTTATCACAATCACACTGTTAGAAACACTGTGGCCAAGTCAGGGAAGAGCTTCCCTTTGATGGACGATCACAGTTGATCAAGTTTGTCAGTCGCTTTATGTGTTTTTATGCTTGTTTGATATTCCTGCCCAGAGAGTAGAGGCTTTTAAGGGCACATCTGTCAATGGATTCAATTTCACAGTGCCATGTGATTCTTTTACTTACCCCTGTCTTCTCATCAAAGATTTTGATACCTCCAAAGGAGATGGTTAAAAAGATTTTCTGTTTGTGTTCTCCTTTGGAACGCGCGCCAGCAACAACGCCCTGTTGAAAGGAAGGACATGGTTTTTACTTGAGTGTTTTCATTTGAAGATTCCCTCCAGTCCCAAAGGCATGTCAGATACCATCAGCCAATGCCACCCATCACACACACTGCTTTCCCTTCGCTCCTTCCATGCTTCCCTGCCTGGTGTGTTTGCCTCTCCTTGACATTTTAGGCTAATACTTACCCTAATGTTATCTCTAACATTGTATAAATAGAAACTTGAACACTGATTCACATGACTACCCAAGATTTATAGAAAGCCTACTTTGTGCCTAGATATCCAGCTCAGCATTCAAGACCCCAAGATATACACAATATGATCCTCTCATTAATTGTATTTTGCTGGGCTTCATATTGTACGTGGTTTCAATCTATTACATAAAGATGAATCACAAAATATATTCCTCAATGTGATTTTATCATTATACTCCTGGAGAAAGTTTCCCTAGGAATCAATTTTCAAGATTAGAAAGAAAATAAAAACCATTGCCAGACTGCATGTCTCCATTTTGTCTGGAAGAATATGACCATCAGAGTTATATGCTTATGGTTTGCAATTTTTTTTACCATATATGTTTCCTATTTTCCTTTACCCTTTCTGGTAGGAAGGTACCTACCAAATGCATTCTATTTATCAATGCATCTGTTTCCCCACTTTTCCAAGCTTTTTTTTTTTTTTTTTATAAACCAAAGATATGCATGTGAGTCAGTCAGAAGGTAAACATCACAAAAGGCAGCGATACTGCTTGCTGCTCTACAAGTAGTGCCTGGGACTGTAAAGGGAAGGAGGGAAGAGGCACTCTGTAAATCACTGTGACATGAATGTGCTATCCAGACTTCTTCCCAAGTTGACATGATGCAAGTGAAAAGCAAAGATGTGTGCTTTTCAAACCAGCTTCTGTGGTGGCCAGTGACAGGTAAGTGTGGGCTTCATATGAGGGTACCACTCAGAGGGTGAGGACATTCCAAGGCATTTATACTCTGCATGGGGGTCTTCCTGTCTCTGCATTGTGTTTTGGTGCTTCTAGCCCCTTCAACGCTGTTCGCCTCCATTGAGTGTAAGATCAAGCCCAACTATTAGCAGTTGTAATTCTAGAAGTCTAAAATAATCATGATGTCATGTTTCTGGGAGAGACCAGTCATTTGTGCTCTTGTCAGTACAGCATGTTCACAACCTCAGTGGCAGAGAGCCAGCAGTGTTAGGAACAGAGATGACCAGAAGGCACGGGTTCGAGGCATCCCTTTGAGGATGTTTGGTTATCCTCACTTGGGGTATTGGAATCGGAACAGCTGGCTCCTGCCTCCAGCTCTCTGTGATCTTGGACAGATGACTTAATTCTCACTCCCACATCCTCAAGCATAAACACTGCCCTTGTGTGAGTGAGAGAATTCAAGAAAATCTAGGTCAAGGATCTAGTACAGTGCCTGGAACACACTACAGGGATGGCATGAAAATTAAATTCTTCTGGTGAATGGAGGACTGTCCCTAAAAGTCTGTGCTCTGCATCCTGCTTGGGGACTGTCTAGCAGGAAATTCACTCCCTCCTGAGTCACCCATTCATTCTCAATCGCCACTTACACTCTTGCAGATGTAGGGAATGTCAGAGCTCAAGAGGATCTTCCAAGGTTCCAGCTGACAGATGAGGACAGTGGTGCCTGGGAGGTGGGTGTGGACAGTACAGGGTGGTACAGAGTCCTGGTGGAGAACTGGGACTACAACTCAGCTCACTAGACTCCTGGTGCAGGGAGCACTTAATCCTCTCCATGGGCGGGGGGTGGGGGGGTCTTCTTTCTAGCAAGCCCAGATCTCTCTCTGTACGTAACCCTCCTCAGCCTTGCTCTTTCAGCCCCTTGGGGCTGCCACACTCTGACCAGAGATCCTTCCTGCAATGCCTGTTCCTCTAAATAGTTAAAGAGAGTGACTCACTCCCAAAGCTAGGTCCTCTGTCTCTGTAACTTCCTTGCTTAGAGGTTTCTAGAGTCCTCGAAGTGCGCCGGTTTTCCGTAAATTCCCTGAGGATGATTCTATGGAACATGGGGAGGATGGCCAAAGTATGTTTTAGCAGTCCCAGGGGGTAATTCTTACTTCTCATGCCACCCTACTGGGGACACTGTCTCTGAACCACCCCTGGTTTGCATTACCCTCTCTTTTCCTCTTCCTCAAAAAGGAAACTGAGTAGGCCCGCCAGACTTTCAACCTAGGGAAACTCCACTCTGAACGCTGTGTTCTTGGCTGGGTTTGGAATAAAACACCTTATGCTGCCACCCCTCCACAGCTGAAACTTCCAGCTTCAGATCTCCAGGCACGCGCGCGCGCGCACACACACACACACACACACACACACACACGAACTGGAAGTGGCTCTGTCATAAATGAAACGACTAGAAGGACTGAAAGGACTGTCGAAAGGGTGGGGAGGCCTTCCTTCTTGTTTAACTCCTCTTAGGCGAGAACATCACAGCCCATGGTGGGGAAGAGGGTGGCACCTTTGATCAAGAAGAGTCCTTACGGTCCTTAGCTCTGAACCACTGCCACACCAACAGCATGACTCTTGGCACACGGTAGTGCTGCCCAGATCATGCCCCCCTTTGCTTCCTGGTGCCAAAGAATGTGCTGCTCGAATGCAGCTGTATGCAAAAAAGGACAGGGAGAGCACACACACATGTTCCGGGAGCTTTTCTGCTTGGGGCAGTGGCTGGTGGTGGCTTTACATGACAAATGAAAGAGGGAAGGACTATCCCTGCAGTGCTGTCTTTGGGGAAATAAAACTCCAATTTTATCAAGCATGTTTCTCCTGTGAGACAGGACCCTGAGTCAAGCTCTGAAAAATTGCACTAAGTCCAGGCAAGTGTGCTAGCAGACAGCACGCCTCACGGTCTCATCTCCACCACGAGATTATTCATTGCTGGCACGCAGCAGCAGCAGCAGCAGTGGTCCAGGAGACAGCTCGGACTGGGGAGCCAGAAGATGTGGATGGATGTGCCCTTTGGGGCTCAGTGCCTCACTGTTTGCCACCTGACTAAGTCACCAATGGAAATCTGCAAAATACACTCAGGCATTTTTTTGAGTAGCTACACTACGTGCTACGAGTTCTCTTACGTATCATATAATTTAGCCCAGGCCACAATCCTGAGAAGTAAAAATGATCTCACTTAGTTTATATATAAGGAAACATAAGGCCAGGGGGGCAAGTGATCTCCCCAAACCTCCAGGAACTAAGAAGACAGAAAGAAAATTCAAACTAGAGATATTTTGGATTCCAATGTTGGGCTTCTTTCTGTTATAACCTTCCTCAAGAGCTTTTATTTATTTATTTATTTAGAAAACATAGATGGGGGATCCCTGGGTGGCGCAGTGGTTTGGCGCCTGCCTTTGGCCCAGGGAGCGATCCTGGAGACCCAGGATCGAATCCCACATCGGGCTCCCGGTGCATGGAGCCTGCTTCTCCCTCTGCCTATGTCTCTGCCTCTCTCTCTTTCTCTGTGACTATCATAAATAAATAAAAATTAAAAAAAAAAAGAAAACATAGATGGGGGAGAAAAGACTACGTGATGTACTACAGATATGTCAAAAATGTTCTGCAAAGAGCAGAGTGGATCCACCAGCAACCAGACTCTGCAGTGAAGGGGAATTTTAAATGATAATTATCACATTTTTTACTTTGTAAGGGTGTTCAGATATTGAAAACAGTTATGCACATGCAGGACTTAAGCAAGTAAGCTGCATGTAGGAAGAGCTCAGTGAATAACAGTTATTATTACTGGTAGTGACATTCTTTTTATGTAGCAATGCCATGTGTGAAATGGCTGACAGGGGCATCCCTAAGGGAGTCACACGTAGGTAGCATCTCCATGAAGGAACTGACACACAAGAGGTCAGGCACACCAGGCACGATTAACTGGCTGCCCTGTCCAGCTTTGGGATTCTTGTGAGGATCAGAAAGGGGAAGCCCAAGAAAGGGCTCTGAGAAACCTCCCCCAGCATGGTGCAAACACGTAATGGGATGGCTGTGATCTCCATGGATCCTGTAAAACAGGTAGGAAAACACAACAGGCTTTAGGCACGAATGGCCAAAAACCTAGTATGCTATTCCAGAATGTTCTACAATTTAAAAAAGCTGGTCTCCAATTTCAGCCTTCCTAGTTATCAGCTATACAAGCCTCGGAAATAACTCACCCCAAATTTCACTTTTTCCGGTTAAAAAAGAATTTAAAGACTTTATTCTGCTTTGTGTCCAGAGCCTGGCCCCTGTGGACTGCATTCCCTGGTACTCTGGGCTTCCTGTCATCTGGCTTCCAGTTGAGTTCCACCCATGCAAGAGAGGCAAGAGATTAGAAGGTGGATGGGGAGAGAGGTCAGGGTATTCCATCCACATCCTTTCCTTTCTTGTGCTGCATCTCTGGCTGTGCCTATATTTCTGCTTGGTGAGGGAGAGGACTTCCTCCTCAATCCTGCTCTGCTTGGGTTTCAGGAATCTTTCTTTCTAGGGTGGTAACTGCTTTCACTGTTGCAGGTGTCTGAGAGGTTAACCATCCCTTGTACCTTACTTAACCTTACCTACCCTTTCTAAGTGGCTCTTTCATTCAAGTGTCCTCCTCTGACCTAGCCAAGGTGGGCTCTGCTTCTTATAGGACCCCAGCTGACATATTTAGAGCTCTGTAATTAGCCCTCCAGGCACTGTCTCTGGGAGATCTCATCCCCTCCTGGAGCCTCAACCACTACTGTTTTGCCCAACGTCTCTAAAAGCTGACTACTTTGGAGATCCCTGGGTGGCTCAGCGGTTGGGTGCCTGCCTTCAGTCTAGGGCGTGATCCTGGAGTCCCGGGATCAAGTCCCACATCGGGCTTCCTGCATGGAGCCTGCTTCTCCCTCTGCCTGTGTCTCTGCCTCCCTCTCTCTCTCTCTCCTTGTCTCTCATTAATAAATGAGTAAAATCTTAAATAAAAAAAAGCTGACTACTTTGTAAGTCAATGATATGTGGAGACTGGGTAGTAACTTATCAGTAAGGGCTTAAAATCTCACTGGGAAACAAAGATAAGTTAAATGCAGATATAAAAAAGAATATAATTAAGCACTAAACTATGTCTTATTGAATAGTGGGCATCTAGAGATCATGGTCTGAATTCTGGGGTTAACACAGGTTAAAGGAAGGTGGGGCAAATCCCTTAACTTCTATCAATCTCAGATTTTTAATTTCTAAAACAGAGAGGCTAATATCTATTTCAGAGATGTTATCTGGGAAAATTCTTATGTTGATTCTAAATTAAAACATGACGATGATGGTGTTTAGCTAGAGGATAGGCGACAGTCCACTCATCCTCGGAATAGGAATCCCCTCTCAAATCTCTGTAATCCAAAAGAAAACTCTCTAAAACAAGAAAAGGTACCAGCCTCAGAGTCTAGCAAAGAAAAACAGATTTTCTTTTTATTTCTCCTATGGCCTAATATGAACAAGTGGGCCCTTTTGCAAGGCTAACAGCCATTTTGTACTTCTCTGCCTCTTTCTTTCCTGGGCAGGTGGCCAAATGGAGAATCGATCATTTATGTTTCTGTTTCCTAAAGAAAAACCACTGGGAGCTGAAATGTCAAAAGTCTTCTCAGGAACTTGCAAATAATGAAACACAACTGTCTGGGAATCAAGAACCCCCTCAACAAGCTCAGCGCATCTGACAGGAGTGTGTTATGGTAGGACAAATTCCCAGGGCTTTGGGGACCTCATGGTTATAAGGGGTGACAGATGGGGCACTTCACTGCAGGTAACACACGCACAAGGTCAGCAATCATTGCTGGGCCTGGTCCAGCTAGCTTGAGTCAACGTTAATGCTGACAGAGGACCTTCAGAGAGCACAGGCAGGCTGCTGCTCAAAGCCACTTAGAACTCAGTGCTTCCGTGAAGGCAGTTGGCCAACGAGGTGCTTTGTGACAGATGCCTGGTGAATGGCAATCTAGCAGGATGCTGGGAGAAGAAGCATCAGCTCCTCAGCAGACTTACTCGTGGCTCTGGGTGAGAACCAGGTCGTTGGGAGGTTTTTCCTGATGTCCTTTATTTAATATTTGCTAGGAGCAAATCTCATTTACCTGGCCTCATATTAAGTAAGGAGGGACTTCAGCAAAAATGAAGGTCTGGGCCTTCATTCCTTTCACTGACTAGGGTCTCCTTGGGGTAGAAGGCATGGCTCTACCTGATGGAAGTCTGGAGAGAAGCTGAGGATCCCAGGCTCAGTCTACTCTGGGTTCTCCCTGCAATCTGCCCACTGGTAGAGAGGCTGTACTCTGCTCAGATCTCATGCATGGATCATAAGTCCTGCTCTGGGACAGAACAGTGGTTGGTGGGAACAAGAAGGCTTGCAGTTATCCAACTGCTCCACAGACCACATGGGACAGCCTGTGTCTCTTAAGGATGCCCACTGTGGCCATATATCCACATTATACCCTCCATTCCAGCATTTATAAATCAGAAGGTTGGAGTTTAGAGGTCCTCCTGTCAGACTTCTTTATCTACTTACCAATCAGATTTGAGCTTAACAGAAAAAGAGCTCATTATTAGATTGCCCTCAAATCTCATAACACTGCTTAATCATAAAAACAAAAAAGGAAAGAAAGAAAACATTAACCTTTTCCAAGGTGACAGTCTGTGAAATCATGATTTCGGTATCTTTTAAAACCTTTTTCTAGTATACCTTATAATGGACACATAACTATTAAAATAAGGCTTGCTTATGTAATAGCTAAATAAATAATGGGTAGGTAGTTTAAAAAACTAAGATTTCTGGGGTGCCTGGATGGTTCAATTGGTTATGTGTCTGACTCTTGGTTTTGGCTCAGGTCATGATCTCACAGTTTTGGGATCGAGCCCCACACGGGGCTCTGTGCTCAGTGCAGAGTCTGCTTCAGAGTCTCTCTCCCTCCTCCTCCAGCTCACACTCATGCTCTTTCTTTCTCTTTCAAATAAATAAATAAATAAATAAATAAATAAATAAATAAATAAATAAATAAATAAAGTCTTAAAAAAGTTTTTAAAAGTAAATTAAGATTTTTAAAAATGATTTCTACAGTCATACTACAAGATACTTAGCATCTTATATATATATCTTAAATTGCTGAGAAAATTTGTATACTATAAATAAAAATAAGAGTTCCGATTTATTAAGCAAATAGGAAAGACAAGGCAACACAGAGGTTGTTTTACAGATACTGTCCCAGTTCATACTTGGTGGCACTTGGCCAGCCTTGTATATATACTTTTTTCTTCCTCTTTTTTTTTATACTTAAAAAAAATTACACTGACCAAGTTGCATCCTGAGTGACTATTTGAAGGTATGAAAAAAGTTCTCATAAATTAAATGAGAAAAAAAATAACAGGATATAAGACTGTATAAATAGTGGGATGCCTGGGTGGCTCAGCAGCTGAGTGCTTCAGCTCAGGGCATGATCCCGGGTCTGGGGATCAAGTCCCACACTGGGCTCTCTGCGAGGAGTCTGCCTCTCTCTGTGTGTCTCTCATGAATAAATAAAATCTCTCTCTCTAAAAAAAAAAAAAAAAAAAAAAAGACTAAGTAGTAATTCCAAGTGCATTACATATGTGTGTAATTCATATAATATATATAAATAGGGCAGCCCAGGTGGCTCACCTGTTTAGTGCTGCCTTCAGCCCACGGCATGATCCTGGAGACCCGGGATCAAGTCCCACGTCAGGCTCCCTGCATGGAGCCTGCTTCTCCCTCTGCCTGTGTCTCTGCCTCTCTCCCTCTCCTCTCTGTGTATTCTCATGAATAAATAAATACAATCTTTAAAAAATAAATAAATATACAAAGGCAGATTGTGAGTTACACACAAAAATGTTGACACTGATTTTATGTGGTGATTTTAATTTTTTCCTTTTATTTTTGTGTATTTTCAAAATATTTTACAATGAACATCTTGTGAATTCTATAATCAGGAAAATACTTAAATTATATGTGTTAAATCCATGAGGTATTTTTGAGGTGTCCTGCTAAATCATTTGTTTTTCCAATATTTTAAGTCACTTTTTAAAAGAAGAAAACATAGACTATATGAAGATCAGAATGTGGGAACAAATGATGCTCTTTTTCACATGTTTTTAAAGGCCTTTTAATAACATAATTTTATTCTATATATTACTTTTTCCCCAATTTCTTTCTTAGATTTTTCAATAAAAAAAGCCTTCTTTAAATATTTATAATCAGAAACCTCTCTGTGATATCTCCTAATCCCATAATCTCATTACATATTACTTTAAAAATTAACACTTTACAAAGTATTTTGAAACATTAATAGGAATGATAAAAATGAATAAAATTAGCTTTTATCTTAATGTAGCATCTTTTACCATATTTATCATATGGCAAAATACTTTAAATGTGTTCAAAAATAACAAAAGGTAAAGATTTATAAAATCTGAGGGACTATAAAATTTGACAACTTTTCCTTTTGCAGGCAGTGCACAATGAAGATAAAATTGAATAAAATGTGATATGCTCAGAAGTTATAAAACCAGTTTCAGGAAAATATCTCCACATAGTAGGCGCTCAATAAACATTTTCATGATGACTGAAATCTCTTCCCAATGAATATATGCACTGACTCACCACTGAACCAAGTAATTTACTAAAAAATGATTAAGTAAAAAGTTTTGCCACAATGATCATAATCACTCCCTTCCCTCGGTCCTATTAAGCCCATGATTTTGAAAGTAAAATATTTGCACAGTACCTTGAGTTTCATCATGGAATCTTGACATAACTTGTCGCCCCGAGCTGCAGAAACCTCATCAATCCCGATCAGTTTGGCCTTGTACCGGACCCCTTCACCTTTAAACCTCTTTATCAAAGTGGCTTCACTGCGATCCTGACCTAGAAACAGAGAAAAGCGGGATTCAGGCATGTAAGTATTCAGGTCCCACTGTCTTTAAATAGCCATAGTGCTGACATTTGTTCTCTGGTTTCACTTATGTTCTAAGAAGTCACATCATTGGACCAAATAGAAAGTAATTGTAGTTCTCTTGGATGCAAATTCTGGCTATATCCTTTTAAATCCAGAGGCAACTTACTTCTCTCTGAGTTTTTTTCAGGCAAGAGAAAATAAAAGAGTTAAAAATAGCCAACCCCAATGGGACATTAAGATAATTAAACTAGACAACATGTGTAAATAACCCAATACAGAGTTTGATACACGCTATTTAACAAATAATAATCACCTACTAGGAGTTCATGTCTGACATTCTTGTTAGAAAGTGGTATTAGCACTGAGCCTCTTTGGTTAGGGTCCAAGACCCTCTTACACCCAATTCCATGGGCTGCTTTTTAGTGAGACTCCAGTGTAATAGCTTTGTATCAAATAATGATCCAGGGACAACTATTAAAAAAAATGGTTTTATAATATCTCTTCTGCTAACTCATGTGTATAGAAGTAGGCTACTTGATAACGGTGTGCCCATATCCTGCAACAGCCTTTCTCAGTAATTATTAACATAATATTTTGCTATGACATATCAACCAGAAGTTCAAATACAACCACATAAAATAAGGACAGTAAAGTTTCTGTGAACTGAGTGTCTCATGGGAGATGTTTTATAAACTTGATCGCACTCTTCATAAAAACTCAACCATATCCATCATCTAGATGAAGAAGATGAAGGTCACAGAATTCAAGGAGCTGGTCCCAAGTTCACACAGTCAGAAAAAAAAGATGAATACACAAGAATTAAAATTTCTAATATCATCAAACTTTGATAAAATTCATCAAAGGATGGGGCATTGCATGTGTGGCTCTTAAAACATGAGGTGTTCTAGTCTTATGAGACTCATGGCCTGGAACATCATTGACTTGAATTTCCAATGCCTTCTCCATCATACCTGCTCTTACTGGGCAGAATTTCTGAGCTGGGCACATGAGCAGTATCTCAGCCGACCTCCCTGTATCTATATAACGTGCAAACTAAGGCCTTTCTATCATGTGCAGTTGAGAATTATTTGAGTTGAAAACAGAGGAAAAATAACAGCAATACTTAATTATTGCATAATGCTTTTCTACTGAAAAAAAACATAACTTGTGGCCCATTTATTTATTCAGTTGTCCCTCATTGAGTGTCTCCTCTATGCCAGATGCTGTAACTCTCTGCAACAGACACATGAGACACAGTCTCAAGATTTCGGCGACTGAAGGTAAAAATGTGTAACACATTATACCAGTTGTGTAAGAAGGTACTGGCTTTAGTTGGACATCCTCATTTCAAATCATGGCTTTCTCACTTGAAAACCAACTGAACTGTCTACCTAGCCTCAGTTTCCCCATCTGTCAAATGTGGATAAGAGATCTACCTTCTGACTTATTGTGAATAGTAACTTATAGGAGAGAGAGAGTACATGTGAAGCACAGATTCACATGCTAAGTTCTCAGAAAATGGCAGCTGTTGTCACTATTATCAGCCCAGTGAAAGAAGCACAGAGAAGATCCCATGCTGAGGGAGGTGGGTACAGAGGAGAAATGTCTGCAGAGCCAGACCCCTAATTTCCAGCTGGTGCTTTTTCCCAGTGTACCCTTGCTGACTTCTGGTATATTAAAGCCTTTGAATTACATTCCACAAAGCAGATATAACACAGGGATGATGAGTCAGAACCTATAATAAATGTAAAAATTCAGCCTCAGGATTCTGTGAGGGCAGATGTCAGAGACTAAAGCTATGAACAAAGAGGACACTTGCCACGATACACTCTGTACAGACATCTAGCTCAACAACACAGTCTACCAAGTCACCTCTCTGCATTATCATGCAATGTTGGGTAGGAATGGCCTATGGCTTGCTCTATTTCTAGGGAAGGTTATCTTCCTCTATCCCAAATATCACCTCTGCCTCTTCAACACATGACACTATTTTAGTCACTAATCAAATCTCTTTCACTGTTTGAGATTTCTCCAAGCTTTATATCCCAGGTAGCATTTATTATGTTCTATACAAAGCACACTGTATACACCAATTTGTTTAGCCACAGACATGACCCTAGAGATAGGTACTGTTATTCACATTTTTATAAATGAGTAGCTAAAAGTGAACATCTGAGAGGCCAAGTAACTTCCCCAAAATTACTGAGTGATACCTGAACCCATCTGTCTGATGCCAAAGACCAGGCTTATGGTTTGCTTGTGTTATGCATTTTCAAGCTTGTTCTCTTAACCACCATGATTAATTGCTTCTCATTCTACCTGATTTCCTCATCTTTATATTGTACCAAAACTCACCTGGCCTGAATCTGTTGATACCTAATACACTGGCAGCATTAAAACTCCTTTGAAAAGACAGCTTGAAAATGGAACAAACAGCTTCCAGCCTTCACATCATGTCCCAGAAAATGTCTATGAGTCAGATACAAAGACAGCCTTAAGAAAATATTTGTCAAGGCACAGAGCTCTAACCAAGGAGGATGCTTCATAAGGGGGCAGAACCAGATCAGGTGAATGAGGGCAGAGATTAATAAGAAAATATTAGGCCATTTAGAGGAAAGTAGGGAGCCCAATTTAGATTAGGACCCAGGGCCAAGCTAATTTGTATGAAGGGCACTTATGCAGTAGATAATCCAGTTTCTCATTAAATGCTCCACCATTAAAAGGGTAATTTTTCATGAGCACATCTTGAGCAAGGTCTCAGTTATATTAGTTAAGAAATAAATAACAGATATCAGAGCCATAAGGCTATTCCATCAGAGGCACACACGATTTGAGGGTATTAGGGAAAGGGTCAGTCTTCATGCATCCCAAGTCATCACGAATCCCCAGCTTATTCTGCTGAAAGAACCAGTGGCCCTATGCTTCAGGATGGAGAAAAGAAAGGACACGTGTTTAAGAAAAATCAACAACATTGTCACTACCAATTATCGACCGTTTACTATACTAGTTGCTGGGCCAAGATTTTACATGCAATCTCTCATTTAGCCCTCACACCTGCTCTTTAAGATAAACTCTATCACCTGCCCTATTTTACAGAAGATAACATCAATGACCAACACCAATAGCAGAGCCTGAATTTTTAAAATAAGGGCTTTATTGAGATATAATTCCCATACCACTTGATTCCCTCTTTTCAAGTATATAATTCAATGATTTTATACATTCACAGAGTTGTACAAACATCATCACTAGCTTATTGCATAACATTTCCATCACTCCCCAAAGAAGCCCTGCATCCATAAGCAGTTCCTCCCCATCTCCCCCAAACCAATCCAAACAACCACTAAGTCCATTTGCTGTCTCTGTGGATTTGCCTGTTTGGGAGGCAAATTTCATTTCACGTCAATGGTAACATACAATGTGTGGTCCTCTGTAACTGGTTTCTTTCACTCTTCATCACATTTTCAAGGTTATTCCCGGTTATAGTATTATGCAACTACTTCACACCCTTCATTTCTGGCTGAATATTATTCTATTCTACCAATGTACCACGTCAATTGATGACATTTAGGTTGTTTCTATTTGGGGGCTATTATCCACAATGCTGCTATGACACTTGTGTATCAATTATTGTGTAGGCATATTTTTTAATCCTTAGTATTATACCATTTCTCCCTGAGTACCTGTTCTCTATCAGGTATAATACTGGGGCATATGGTAACTCTATGTTTAATTTTTTGAGAAATTATCAAAGTGGTTTTTCCAAAGTGGCTGTATCGGGTTACAATCCCACCTGCAAAAGTATGAAGGTTTCAGTTTCTCTACCAGATATTCTTGCCAATATTTATCTTTTTTGCTTTAGCCATCCTCGTGAGTGTTTAGTGATTATCAGAGTTTTGTTTTGCATTCTCCTCAGGACTAATGACGTTGAGTATCTATCTTCTCTTGTGCTCACTGTCCTTTTGCATATCTTCTTTGGAGCAACTCTTACTCAAATGTGACATAGTCGGGGACCTGGCTGGCTCAGTCAGAAGAACATATAACTCTTGATCTCAGGGTTGTGAGTTTGAGCTCCCACTGTGTGTAGAGACTACTTCAAAAATAATAAAATCTTTTAAAAAATAAGAAAAATAAGAAAATCTGCCATAGTCTAATCTGACGTCCTGAATTTGAACCCAGGTTTTATGTTTAACTATTAGGCTCCTTGGCATCAGTTGACCTTACTCCATACTCTGTTACGGCACTTGCCACTTTTTACTTTGTGTCACAGCTATTTGAGTAGATGCCTTATGCGGTCTACAGTAAATTGGCAGCTATCTTTCTCCTAAGACAAACACATCATAAACACACACACTGTGCCTGATCTTCTCAGGTCTTATCCCCTTTACCCCCACAGGGCTACTGGAAATAGGCATTGTCATCATTCTATGAATGAAGAAACCAAAGCCAGAGAGGTATATAATTCAAGTTACTGCAAGCTGAGCTGGGAATAGAATCTCATCCCGCCCTATTCTAAGACCTGAGATCTTCCACTGGGAGGCAACAGGGTTTAATGGCCCAGAACAAGAGCTGTGGATTCCAAGGACCTGAATTCCGGTCCCAGCTCTCCCAACCACTCCCCTAACTGTGTTGTGTTGGGTAAATTTCCTTCCATGTCTGCCACAGTGTCTTTCTTCTGTGAAGTGTAGCTAATACTGGGTTACTGTGTAGGTCAAAGAAATGATACACAGCAACAGAGGGCAATGAGAGACAGTCGGAGCTCAGTTAAAGTTGACCATTGGTACCTGGGTGATCATACTTCCAGTTTGTCTGGGACAGTCCCTGTGTACACCTTTCACCCTGACACTATTATTACTATCATCCTATTGCTCTCAATCCTCCCAGCTTGGATAATCAATTGTGTGGTCCCCCTAATCATGTCATCATCATTGCACTACCCCAGGGTTTTCTTTGTGCTTGGCAATGTGCT